CTAGTTACTGAAGATTCTCATATGCGTATCGTTATCCTTTATCGGCATAACAGTGACTGTAACGCGCTAATGCAATTTGTGTTATCACGCTTGATCGTGTTTACAATTTCAAAATATCTTCATTTTAAGCAGGAAATATGATGTAAAACTATACAGGTCGTTTATGAATGATTTGCCTTTTCTTCAGATGAAACTTTTCCCGAGGAAAGAGATTCAATCGTCAGTGAGACATCTGAATCGATGGACATCCAGAGTCGTAATACGATCCAGTGCCCCCTTCTCCCTCAGCTGCCGACCCAGACGGACTTCACAGTGTACTGGACAATCAAGAACTCATCAGATGGTCAAAGTCTGGATATCATTGTCGCCAAGTTTCCTGATGGTGAAATCATGTCAATTCAAAAATATACCGATACACACAGCATAACTGACAAGAACGGTTTACAAGTGACAAGATTTGGAAAACGAGACGAGGAGTATTGTTGTCATGTCTTCGAAAACGAGAACGACTTGAGGACTGCATGTGTTGATGTCACTTGGTTAGGTGAGTGTTTGATATTCAAAAATGAGGATGAAACATGGAGTTATGAAGAATACTGACAGCTATACGAGGACCAACCTTTTCTTCTGGATAGCAACAACATGCACGGGTGGGTAGGATTCAAACTCGATAAGTAAGAAGACTAATGGAAAGCACTAAAATGAAGTACGTCAGTTTGTACATGTTCATTTGAAATTAAAACAGAACAGTAAAACAGACAATAAGGCATGTGAATAATTTTACTTTCTTCGTGTCCCTTTTTTCTGACAATATTTTTAATATACCTCATCAACTACAGCCCTAATGACCCAAAAGCATCCCTCCTTAGAGGGCTGTGACTCAGCAAGCCAGATTTGCAACGTGGAAGTCACACAACATCAAGACTACCTGCCTCTGGCATGTTACATACATGAAGTCTACCCGAAGCCTAACCTGAACTGGTCCTACACAAACTGTGAGAGAACACCAAAATTCTTCACAGCTTCGACATCAACAAGGAACCAGACTAACGAGTCTTTTAATGTAAAATCCACCGTTTACATTGTTGAATTGAAGCGATCGCTGGAGCTCTGCAGCTTTACGTGCACAGCATACGGCGATGCAATTACAGACCAAACAAGGTCATCCACTGTAACGATTAAACGTAAGTCTCACTCCCATCATGGACGAATTTAAAGATGTGAGAACAAAAGCCCGTTGTGCTACTGCCTTGAATGTTTCAATGTCTTATTTTCAGGTCGTAACGAAATCACGACAACACCGAGCTTGCGTACACCATTTACGTATACTTGTCCGGACTGCAACGAGTCAGGCTTTGGTGTGATTGTCTTCCTCATGGTGTGCTTACTTGTCTTTGACCTCGGGCTTTTTCTTTTGTTGGTTTTACCAAGAAGCAAGGCGTTCCTTCTCAATCATGCCCTTGATTTCCCAACATTGCCCCGCTTTCCTAGAATGTGCGAATTTGTGCTAGCGAAGGAAAAGGATTCCGAACCAAGCGGAACACAGTCAAGCGCACAAAACCCACCAACTGAAGGTACGACTTTCCTTCATCATATGTGAAAGTTCACAAAACGAATGTAAAAGTGGTCTTGTTGCGCTCTTACGAAATGGAACAGTGCATGTGCATACAATTTGTAGTTAAACAACTAATTAAATATTCAAACACTATCACGCATTCTAATAGTTGCTCCTAAGTAATGAGTAAAGTTGGCGGTCCACGAATGAAAATGATAACTTTATTGTTATCATTTTTGGCAGAAGACGAAACATGTCTGATGATCAGTTCTCCCGAAGAAAGTGTCATGGAGCAGAAAGAAGGTATTTATATTCCGCAGTTCTTTCTATCTGCCAAAGGTTTTATCATTACATGTAGTTGTTTTTGAAATTGCCAGAAACTATTGTCAAAAAAGCCCACTTGGATGTATTTATTTGAAGAAGAGCGGAATCGAGACTCAAAGGGGATTTGATCTTGCTATCAACCAACAAACTCCCCCCCCCCAAAAAAATTATAATAATAGTAATTTAAATAACTACAACGTACAGGAGTTTTAGTACTAGTAACTAAAACAGCACGCCAGGCAGGAAAAACTAAGACGTTTTTTCCCACTTATAATACAGATCCTGTATGTTTCGTGAATCATGGCAATCAAGAAGTTCATATTGCAGGTTTGTTCACAGTTATTATCCTGTATGAGATAAAAGACATCAACGTTTTTAAATGCTTTTAAAAGAAAATAATTTAACATGAACCAATTTAAATTCTTTCTCGAGACCCCAAGTTCAAATGGAAGTACGTGGGAGATTTAATTATCAAGTCTTTCCTGGACATGAGGAATCGTAGCGGATTCAAGGCTATCAAAGATGTTATCTGCATGGAAGACGGCAACATGGTGGTCATTGACGAAAAAGGAATGCACCATTTCACGACGGAGTATCATTATCGTTTCATCGATCTGGATCAAGTTTTGAATCACAAGACCTTCGTTTGTTTTACAAACTTTGCATATGACAAGTTGTTGTTTGGGTTGAAATTGGGTAAGATTGTTGTTGTTGACATGGCACAAGAACAGGCAACTAACTTTGCCTCTGTCACCCCTGCAAAAGGTAAAGAGGTGCAGTTAGCTTGTATAGCGGGAGGGGATTCGGGCTTTGTGTTCGCAAGTGATAGAAATGGGAGAACGATCTCTGTATTTGACCAGGGTGGTATTTGTTTTGGACGCTTTGAAACTCCGAGTATCCAACCTTCCTCTTTGGCTGTGCATATTCGAAAGGGAATCCCAGGCTTCTTTGTAACCACGGAAATGCTAGTTAGGAAGTATAACGTTTCTGGAGAGAAAAGGCAATCAATGATAAGTCATGAACACCATTTGAACATTGACAAAGATTTCCTTATGACCCGTGATTTCAAACCTGGTCATATTTCAGTTCAAGGAAATGAACTTCTCGTCATTAACCATCTTGATGATACCAAATCACTTCAGATTCTACATCTTAACGTAAATAATGGCAAATTTCAGAACAGTACGATAGCGCATGCACCAGGAATTCGAGGTGTAAAGTTCAGCAGTGGTGACAAAGTGATTCTGTACACTGACAACTCTGTGCACTTGCTTGAGAAAAGAACCGACTAACCCAAATACCTTTATCTTCCGAAAGAAAATAATTAAATTATATAAAAATATAATATAATTAAAGTCAGGTTATTTGGCCCCTCTCAGCTGTATACCAGGTTCGATTGTTTTGAAACTTCGCAGACATGCGAAGACGCTCTTAACATTAAAGTGTAAAGTTTGAAGTCGATCCCGCGAGCGGTAAAGTTAAAGAAAAACTGTTGCGGGTCATTTGAAGTTCCAAGGCTGCACACGTACGATTTTGTTGCCTGATAGTTCTCGGAAAACTTGGTGCTCCGCCAGAACGGTAGGTTTAATTTTCACAAAAACTGGTGTCAAAATGACCGCATAGATTCACTTTAATTTAGCATGCCATAAGGCTCAACTATTGAAAAACAATTGCACTGTGGAGATATTGGAAAATGTCAAGTGTGGGTGGAGCGGATCAGCCCCGGTTCTTCGAGGGTTCGAAGGGGACAAAATCGTTGGAAATTCATAATGTTTATCTTGTTTTACTCTCTGACTTATGAGACATTATGAACGATATTGTGGCGGTTTCTCCTCCGTAGTCCGCGAACCCTTGGCTCGCCAGGCCACTCAGCCCGGTCGCGGCGCCGCTCGCGCGTGATTTGGCCAGGGTCTGGATCCGTTTGGGTGGAAATGTACCGCCCGTTACTGACACCAAGGACAAGGGACTCTGAACGAAATGGCACGCCCGGCAAAGATATGTGTGATACCATCTACTTCTGGCTGGTTTATTCACTTCCACTCACTTCCTCAATGCGTGAGGTACCCTAACAAACTAATGTTATACATTTACAAACTGCAAGGAGGGGCATGAAGGCCCATCGCACACCCCTTCATTAATTACAAACGTCCCGCCAGTACCCAATCCTTATGCACAATCCAAGATGAACTAACAGTTCGGTCACAATCGTCCACACATTAACTAAATCCCGATGCCAAAGTTGTGTCAGTCGATTTAATCTGAACTCCTCGGCAGCTCGGCTTAGACTGACTAATTTTCCCCATTCTGACATTATTTAATTCCCTACCCTGTTTTCCACAGTCTTGAAAACACCATCTTAGCACTAAGATGCAAAACAATGGTCCAAAATACCCGTTTCAATCTTTATTCCATGTACTAATTTCTATCATACTCCGGATATTGTCAAACTTCCCCCCCCCCTTTTTCCATGTTGTTGGTGCCTGAGACTTTAGAAAGTCCAAGAATATTTTGAAAATCTGTTACGTCTCCACGTTGCATTTTCGTGTGAAGGTGTTCCTGTATGTTCACTCGAGCATCTGTGCACGTCTGCTTGTTGGGCTTTACTGACTCATTTTTACCGCCAGAAAGTGAATTTAGTCAAATATAGTGTCAGATTATCAACGTTTTATATGATTGTGACAAAATGACAACGAAATGTATATGATTAGAGGAAATGTCGAGAAGCTTAAAACTTTTTTCGATCCAACGAAATATCACCGACGCATAGCTTCAGTTCATAGCTAAATTCCTTATTCTTTATTTTTCGTTTCTTTTGTATACGTTTTTCCCCATGATCCATTCATATTCAAGGCCTCCCCCTTCTTTGGTCATCCAGCTGTACCAATCTATCAGTATCAAATTATTGATGTTTATTTTGTTAAAGGTGACTTGTTAATGGGGAAGTGTACGTTATAGCATTGACATGACTAAAATCGTCTGAAAAGTTTGAAACTTTTTAAACGATACAAATAGTTGAAACCTCTTTTAATATCATATGCAGTCCTCCGATCCCCAGAATGTATCAAAAAGTAAACACCATTTCCTTTTGGAATATCTTAACATATTAAACGAATACATTGAAGCTAAAAAAATCAATTTTAATTGACTTTCCATTTGACATTGCCTCTGAGCGTCATCTCCTTATGACGTTGACAATGTCCTCTTGAGTCAATGAAATTTAACTCAGTATATAATTTGTCACATCGGAGAGAGTTTTGGCTTAGCGAAGCGCACTGGCTGGAGAAAAAAAACATCAAATTCATCACTGCAGAAAAGAAAAACCAACAAAACGATTAACAACATAGCATTTCAAGGCTATGCTCTCTAACTCTCTGAATGATGATTATTTTAGTGCGTTTTGTATACTCTTCCATATCGCTGGCTGTCGCGTGAACTTTGACCGAAGTGATGGATCGTTTTGTTTTGCTTGTACAATATTTCTCTAATGCTGACAGAATTTTTGAATTTGCGAAGCAATGCTTGTTACATTGTGGTAAATAATCATATTTTTCAATGTTCATTTTGCATTTGGTTGGCTGGGTGAAGTAGGCCATATGCATAGGATGCCTTCATGATTTCCTGGTTGTGGTCGGACGCGCTGCTTATTATTAGCTTATTTTTCAGTAGGCCTACCCTTTGTGTATTTTTGTCACAATTCAACCGTATCATGTTGTTGCAGTTTCGATCTGTATAAGCCTACTTGTATATTATAATAACTACTAGAGAAATCCTCACGCATCACGTATTATCCAGCTCGGCATATAGTGTCTGCAGGCAATATGGCGCATGGTATTTGCTTGTACTTGTGAAGCACCACATGTCCATAACTCACAACCTAAGCCTATTTGGTTAGGGAGGGGGGTACCGGACGTTATACAAAAATAGAAATAAATGCTGGTTGGTGCATTAGACTAAGTCAACTCCATGCAAATGTCAACGTGCGCCAACCGTTCCTGTTCAATGGGAACGCATGAACATGTACTGTGCACGAGTACACAGCAGTCAGTGAGTAATGGTTTTTACATTACAGTTTACACCTATGCGCTCTATAGTCAGGTTTATCCACCCGACGCGAATGTGAAAGGGTTTAAGTCGCAGCACTCTATCTCAAGCAGGTGCAGCCGGGCGACAATAAAGTCCAGAGTTGTTGATGTTTCTAGCTGTGTGGACTTTACTGCTGCCACATGTAATGTTTTCTGCCTACTGTGGGAGCTCCTTGTTCATACTATGCTCGGTTGTTTTCCAGCCAAAACTCGTCAAAACAAAAAGACAACCCTCCCACCAATGACGATTTATAAACAACTTTCCCTCAGCAATGTACAAAATGCTATCTGTGGTAAAGACTTACTATTTAACAAATGTAGGACATAATTTAAACAAGACTTTATCGATACAAAACATGATCCTGATATAAGAAAAGATAGCCATTTCGGTTCAATGTTAGTAAATTTCTGCTTCAGCAAATGTAAATAAAACGTTTAAAAATTGTAAATATAATATTTTCATAACATACACATTTAACTGAACAAAGTTACAGGACCAGACAAATTCCCTTTTTGACCAGGAGTAATTGTTGAAAAGGGAGAGGAATTCTTGAAATAGTGTTTTTTAAGAATTTGCTTTTCATGTCACTATTATGCTATACCAGTATCAAATGGATGCAGTATATATACAGCAGCAGGTCACCGTAATCCGACTTGGACAATGGATAAAATCACGAACACCTGCTCACGTTTGTTTATGACGCTCATTACCGAAGTGCGCATGCGCAGGATTTGCACTTAACCACAGCCTGATGGCAACAGGCTATGTCTGATTTCGCGCGCTCTCGGATCGCACAATGAGGATTCGTCTTTGTTAGTGGATTTCTAGGAAAAAAAACATAAATAATAACATTTTTATGACAAATCCAAATTACATTAATCCTTTTATTTTTCAGTAGCACTGATTTTGTGAGATATTATAGTGTTGGACATACCATTTTAGAGATAAAAATAGATATAAAATGGCCTTGAATTTTCATGCACCATTGGATCAATACGATTTTGAGGTTATTCAAAGTGATCTAATTTTTAAAATATTTATCTGGTGGATTCAAAATAAATGCGTGAAATCAATGCATTAAGGGTGAATCTTTAATTTGGTGCTAGATTTTTGTCTCATTTTGTCTCCATTCATTTTCTATTAAAAATCACTGATGAACTTTGTGCAAAATTTGCGACTCGATTTTTTCGTTGGTTGAAAAGGTCCGTGGAATAAACGTTTTATAATAATGTTCTGCATGAGATTTACCGTTATTTACAAATCTCACGGACGGACGGACGGGCGATCAGGCGGGTGGGTGGGTGGATACCATTACTCAACTGTCTTAGGTAATATTTTTAATGGCACAAGCAAAACACACGATGAACAGCATTCTCCCTTCCCCCATGAAAAAACTTAAAAGAAAAACAATCACACAACATTTAGACAACATTTAGACATATAGGCAAATTTTATAAATAAAACAGAGGAGTTTCTGTATGGCAACATCATTCCATTCAAACCGTGGTTTATCCACCTTGGATTCGAATCTGGCAGAGCTCCATCAACGCTTGACGTCATCTCTGGGCAAACTTCACATCTTCACTTCAAGTGTACTTGTCTGCCACAAAGTTTTTCATCTCAAAAGAAACCTGTACTGTAATCGAAAAAATTAAACGTTTAAATTTTCTGGATTCAGCCCAGGCTCGCTGGAACAATTTTTTGCAGGGGGTGCTGAGATTTGATAGAATGTGCGAGCGCGTATAGCGCGAAGCCATTTCGGCGTGGGGTCCTGGGCCCGTTCAAGGGCCCCGGGAGCTCTGGGATCCTATGATGCTCTGTGGTGCACTCTGAGCCATTTTAGACCACATAGCCTTCTGAAGCGAATCAACCTGCTTTAACCAAGTGTTGACGTTAGTGCATGCTGCATATATCAGCACGATTATTCAGGTTTCGAGTCAACTCGAACCCAAACCAACTCGGACCCAGGTCACTTGGACCCAAGTCGAGACACCTCGACTTTGATGTGTAGCGCGCCGGCATGCAGGGCGCCCGACTGCACGGTACCGGTGTGCTTACTACATGTGCACGTCAGATTCTTGACTGAATGGTGCCTAGCTAGCCGTGGGGCGGGGAGCACGGTGTGCGTGTGACGCAGTGCCCGGGGCCCCCAAATCGCTCTGTGAATCCTATGCGTGCCGTACACGTTGACTGTTGTCTCAACGGTCAGGTTGTCTCAAGTTGGGTCTGAGGTGACCTGATCCCAGCAGCACTGCCGTGGCCCCAAACCGGCGATCGTGTAGCCTCCTGCCTAACAGGCCCTCTTTAATTTGGTTCAAATTATAGTGTTTTTTATCATTACAAAATGACTTTATGAACCTAAAGTATAATTCTCTCATTCTAATGACACCGAGTTTTGTAATTTCGAACAGTTTCTTGTGGTGGAAAATGGAGTGCGCGCTTAAAGTTTCGGCTCCTGTCTTGCGAATCAACACAGTTTCGCGTATTCACCGGCGGTGCGTCGTGGAGGTCGTCATCTTTATTTTCGCGCTGTGTTTTTGTCGATGCGTCATTGTCCCACAAAAAAACCCCAAAAAACTGTGCCCTGCATCTATCACATACCCGCTGGTTTTTAATGCCGCAACCTCGTTTGTAAGTCCATTAACTTTAAAGTGGATTGGGCGCGCGGCGTTGTGTACCCGTACACAATCGCCCCAAAACCAATGGGCAAAAACATCAACTTTTCAAGATAAACTAGGCTTTTGTCTTTACAAATACTAGGCCCACCATAATCACTATCACGACAATCTGACAATACACACATCAAAGGGGAAACACTGTAAACGGCTTACCTTGATGCTAAATTCTGTAAAACGTCAACCGAACGTACGGATTAACACAAACAGCGCACTTCACACGTTTTTCTTCAACACACACACGTGTAGAGATGTGGCATCCTCTTTCCCGTGAATGCACGATTTACCGCTTTGTTATTAGTGGCCGTAGTAATAATATGACACGAGGTTGATACGTATGTGCAGCTCTTTCGCTCGTAACCAGGGTATACTGGGCGCTGGGAAAAGCTGATGACTTTGAGCTCTGATTAGATCAGCGCAAATGGGCTACATGTTATTTACGCGTATGTGGCGCGCTATGCGCCACAGCTGCAGGCATTATAAATTATCCATAATACTCTCTGTACCTCCTTCCCGAGAATCTGTGAAGTGGAACAGTAACCTCGTTCCATCAGACTATGTCCACAGGATGCGTACCTCCACATGATTTTCTCGCGATCTAGTGCCGACATGATTGACGGGGAAAACTTGCCCTTTTCCCCATTTTTCCCCGTTGAGATGAGGCAATGCTACTGTGCTAGGTAAAGATTTGGGATGATTCCATGACAGGATGGGAATTTTTTCCTACTAAAAGTAGGGGATGCTGCAGCATAATCCAGCACCCCCATCCAAAACGTTGGGGGAGCTGGGGCACCCCCGTTCCCGCGGGCTTGATTCAGCCGATTCACTCTAGGAAAATCAAGCCATTATTTGACACTGTCCTTATTTTACTTGAGGTGAGTTAAGTTGGAACAAATACTAGATAGATCTAACAGGATAGGGTTCCGCCTGTCGTCACTTAGCAGGATTCTGACTATGTTATTCACAAGGCCAGTATCTACAAGTAGAATTCCGTGAAAAGAAAATGGTACGTCAGTGTTACTTGCCTAGGCATCAGGAATCATGGTGCTATTGACTCTTGCACCGCATGAGAAATGTTTACATTTTGAATGTTCTATAAATGCTGTTTATCCAAAACCAACGCTTAACTGGTGCACCTTAGATTGTGCACAGCCGCCAACGTACTTCACAACTTAATCATCAACGGTGAACCAGACTAGCGAATCATTTAATGTGCAGTCCACGGTTGATTTGAACAAATCGTTGGAACCTTGCAGTACCTTCACCTGCACAGCGCAGGGTGAGGCAATTAGGGACCACACACAATGTACCTTTGTTAAAGTTTCTCGCACGATAGCTAAGATAGCTAAGTTGGTAGAGTACCGGAGTGCAGATTCTTTTGATTCGCATGAACGAGGACGAGAAGCTTCCTCCGCCCACTATTGTCCAGACTGTACAAGAGAACAGAACTTAGTTAACTAATGCTTTGAGCCATGAGATGAATTCCATCGATTGCCCAGCGTTTGGCTAGCTATGTACATCTGCATGTACATAAAAGCCTTACGCCTGACCTAGGCCCTTATATAATTGAGTAACTTCTCGGCTGGGTCACTATGAACATCCAACAAAAGAAGTACGGTGTACTAACAATGGACGCTCATTGTTAATGCACTGTGTTTCTGTTGTTAGATGTTTGTAGTGTGTGCACAACTGTTTTTGTTCATTCACATGCACGGTGCATGTATGCTTATGAAGTAATCCAGAGACATACAGATCAGTCGACCTTAAGGCACACACACTGTCTTCATTTCTTCACAAGACCTAAGTAGGCTATATGCTGCGGAAATATGCCAAATTAAAGTCATAAAATGCTG